CTGATCTATCTTATTAATTCCACCTTCTCCTCTCATCCCATATTCTCCTTCCTCTCATATTAGCCACCTCTCCTGGACTAAAATTCACCACTCTCATTATCCTCACAAGACTCAAGACCTTTTATGGAAAATTGCACATCAAGCTCTTCCTATTACTATAGGTATAAGAATATCTAAGATCTCCCCTCATTCAGGTTTCTGCCTGTGGTGTCCCACAATCCCAAATTCCCTCTCTCACATGTTTCACTTTTGTCCCTTCACCTCCTCTCTATGGTCATATGCCCTTTCTTTCACTCATTTCATAACACCACACTCCTCACCATCAACAAATATTCTCTCTAATTCTCACAACAAAATTAAACACTTATCTCATCTCATTATATCCTCTGTCATATGGACTGTTTGGACATCATATTGCTCTACCTCTTTTTCCTCTTCTTATTCTCCCCCCTCATCATCTAATCAGTCTCTCCACTCCCTCATATCAATACTTTTATCCTACAGATCTATTACTCCACAACTTCCATGGCCATCTATATCAGCCATGACTTCACTTATTCCTTCTCCTTCCTCTCTCTAACATTTATAACATTAATATTAAATTTAACTCTTTATCTTATTAATTTTTACTTTATTATCCCATTTATATCCCGGCCCATATGGGCAAATTCTTTATTGTACCTCTATACTTATGTATATGTTAAAACCAGCTTTAGCAGTTTATCTGTAGTTGGACAATAAAGTCTTACATTAACGACAAAACCATATGACAAACAAAATCTACCTATCCAGATGCAGAACAAGTCATACTTGTTTGCACCAATGCAAATCAATAAACAGGCCTTACCTATATCCCATCCCTCAACAACGTCGCTTCCTATTCCACCATTATTACATTGTTCTCTTGGAAGAAATACAGGATACAGCCCTTTCTCCGAATATCGAATTCTCACAGGAGACATGAAGTTTTCTAACAATATGTGTGCATTAAAAACTTTACTCCGGATCGAGATTGGTGCATTCATACCGGCATAAAAACATAATATAGACTGCACATGGGACTGTTACATACGCCCTTATGTGTAACCCCTGATAAGACAGACTTACATTCATCGAGACCGTTTCCACGTGCTGAACATTCCGACGCAGCTACAACTACCCTTTTGCTAACCATGAAAACACTATCGTCCTCTTAATTCAGATTTTCTTACCGAAATACATAACGAAGACTTTCACTATACTCATCTAATGGCTGGCTTCATCCAGAATCCCGATTCTACAAAAACTACCTCGTCTTGAACTTGAACCGCTTTTATTCCCTGACCTTTCCCGATGGTCATGCCATTACAGTGAATTAAAAGAAAGTATGATCAATAAATCGTCTACAAATACCATTACATATGGGAAATATATCAAACACCGATTAATGTATGTTGACACCAGATTCCGTTTACATCCATATTGGCCACTACCATCAAAACGCTCAACGCATTTTGGCGAACATATAAACCTCCAACAATGGCGGAGCTAATCACAAAAAGCTTATACACGGGTATGATAGATGAAACTAAAACCACAACGTTACCAACATTTATCCGAACAGGCGATTCTTACTTCCATGAGAAATTATTGCTATGATTGAACAACAGGGCCCATCACTCTTTCTCACATTGTCTATGCCAAAAGGCAAATGGATCCATCTTAAGAAAATCTTAAAAACCACTGATAATGGAGATACTCTGTCAACCAATCGGCCTTTGCACACGACCTTAGTTTTTGTTAATTTTAAGCAGCATCTAAAAAATCATGTATGGGAGAAATCTGCAAACAGTAGATCAGGGTGAATTATTACAATATTTTGAAAGAGTATAATTCCAAAATCGAAAAGCAGCACATACTCATGTATGCCCTCTGGGCTTCAAAACCAATAAATGATATGATTGCCCATAATGTTATTCGATCAGACTTACCTAACAAAGATCTTGAACCAGAATTACATGAAAACATACAATCCACATAGATGTGGAGGTCCAGCCCTCCAATGGAGACTTCTTACTTCTAAGCAGAAGCAAATTTGTTTGCATTAATAATTCACAAACCACAGGGCTTACTCTACCAAGTGCTACTCTAGCACTAGATAATAATTTTTTTTTCAAAAGCATTATAGAAGAGTATCAATGACTACAACTACTAACAACAGAAACTTTTTTTTTAAAAAAAAAATTAAACTCATCTATTACAATTTTATTTATTCAATTTAAGTATAACTGATATTTGCTGTTTTATTCAAACAATAAGCATACAAACATAAAATTCAAATCAGCTCTTATATGTTGCAATCAATACTTAAAAACATTACACCACACACATTGACCGGGCACCCTAGTTGGTTAATATACTCTGCTTTGCCAACTTTAACTTTTCTACTGACTCATCTAAATGATAAATTATATCATGCATGTATCTCATATCGTTTCAGTCATACATTTCCTTTGTTTTAACTGTCTCAAGTGCTTGCCTTCCCACTTGTATAGAAATTGACACTTTCTTGTGTTTTAAAAAGATTTAAATTTTGTGGACATTCAAGACAACCTTTAACATTTGACCAAGTTTATTCTACAGATTGGATTAAGGTCTGGTGACTGTGAAGGCCAATCTTCAAGAAGAATAAGATTTTTCTTCTCAACATACATCTTGTTATACCTATTTTATTTTTATTTTTATTTTTATTTTTTTTTTTATTTTTTTTTTATTTTTTTTTTTTGAATAATGGTAGCAAATTATTTTCTAAAATATTAATATAGTCTCTATGATTCATCTTTTTTTCTATTCTAACCAATAATCCTAAACTCTTTATCCCAAACAATAATTCCACGTTATTGGAAGACGAGGATTTAATACAATTATCATGCTAGCTATTAGTTAACAATTGTTAAGATGATGACTACGCGAATGCATCCTTCGTAAAAGTTCTTACAGTAGTTAAATTTTATTCGTTGATTATATTTAGTGTCTCAGTTACATGACTTGATGTTAAAAGGTACTAATGGCCTGATTTAAGAACTTATTCCCAAGCTCGGACAATATACTGTACCGCTTGTAAAACATCCATCTCTAAGTCACTAGCATCCATCGAATATGGTAACAACGATAATGTCGTTTAAAAGGCATAATGATGCCAGCATTCATTGGCTGAAGTATTGCTGTCGTGTTTGGCGGTAGAAAAAGAACCTCAGTATTTGAGAGAGTTAATCCTTCAGTAATGTGACTAGGGCGATTATCTAAAAGAAGTAAGACAAGTTGATTTCCATACATTCTAGAAACTTTAAGATCGAAATCATGCATCCACTCTTGAAACAAAGTTGCCAACATCCAAGCACACTTATTATTGCGATAAGTAATTCCTAAGTTTCCAAGATTTAAATTTTTGAAACATCTTGGCTTTGCGTATTTCCCGATTACTAAAGGCTTTAACTTGTGAGAACCGTCGGCATTCGTACATAGGGCAATGGAGAGACGTTCTTTGTCCTTCTTTCTTCCTGAAAGACGTGATGTCGCTAATGTTGTATCTGGTTCCAACCGGTAGAAGAGGCCAGCTTTGTCCATATTATAGATTCTTTTCTCGTAACGACAAACGACTCTCAATAACGACATCTTGATTGACTGAGGTGGAGTTTGCGCAAGCAGATTACATTACGTTCTTTGAGCTTGTGAAGCCAACCAGAATAATTTAGCTTTTTTAATAATAATTGCATCATTATCCGCTTATGACGTTTTGTGTAACGTCTTCATTCAGACTACTTTTTAAAATTCGCGAGACAGTTGATTCATGAATTGTTACGTTCCAATTAGCCTTAACCCAGTTGACATATTAATTAAGTGTTTGTCGATTATCACGGGCATATTGACAGAGTTTAAATGTTTGCTTACCTGTCAATGTTGCAGTTTGTTATTATTTTTTTTCTCTCTCTTTCCTCATTTTTATTTACAATCCGACAAAATCTACAGAGTTATTGTAGTGAGCGCAAAAAAAGGACAGTTGGCTAAAATTTTCGTGACGCAAAATGATGTCAAAGATAGAATGGCCTTGATCCACAATTAATTTATAAGCAGAATAATGCTCAATCATTTATTCAATAGATAATGATATAACAATCTCTCGAATGTTTATAGGATACAGACTGCGCACAAAAATATTATAAATACAAAGGCGTTCGTAATATAAGGTTTTATTTACAACGTATAGAATTAGTCGTCTTTGTCTAACTTCGAACATAGAAAAGAAAATGGCTTTAGTGGAAACACTTCAATAAAGACTTTTTTTGTTAATGCAGTATTATGCACTAGACTTGTAGAGAAACAAAGGATGTTAGAGACAAAGCAAATCATATGACAGCATTATCTTGATTTTGCCACGAAATTTTTAACCAACAGGAATTATAATAGTTGTCATGTGACTGCCCTTTTTTTGCGCCATTACTGACTCGCTAGAGTTATTGTGAGCATGAGACAAAAGGAGTTGAATAAACTTTATAAACAATACTAATACTATGTTGCGCGAAACCTAATTGTTGATTTCAAACTTATTGGTTTTATAATGAAACACGATCTGAAAAACAATTCACTCACGATAAACATTGTGTTAATAATGTAATATTCTCGTTACCGGTACATATTAATATGTATAAACCACGTGACTTCAATTCATACGTGCATGCATATTTGCGTGCTGTATCACGACATGCATTCCACAAATAGAGATTGTTAAAACCGTATTAAAATGCATTGTGTTATCAACTGGTTAATTACAAAGGTTCGAAATGTATAATAATAACAACGAATCACTATTCATTAACTTTGCGACGAATTCTAAGATGTAGAAATGTTCGTACGATTGTATATAAATACTTTGGGGTCGGGTCCAAACAAACTTAACAGTATATGGTAATCTACTATTCTAATACCAATTGCTCAATATCAGATACTGTTAATAAGTCAATATGCAATTGGATGAAATATTCCGTAGACGTCGAAAGACCGAGTCGACAGCACTTGTCATTTGTCGTGCCTTTATTATGATCATGGTTATTGCTCTATTGGCCGGATATATGACTCTCCTTATAATCGATATATGCAATGACGTTCCGATACTGAAAACAGAGGCGAGAACGGTGAGCGGTCTTAGACTTCCAACAATAAAACTTGAGTTTGACTACAAATTCTTTCTTGGCTGTGTATTGAGCTATACTAGTAAGTTGACGGAGCATACTCAGTGTTCGTATTTGTCTTTATATGCTGAATGATTAATTTTATCATCATTAGATGGAACAACCACGCACTTTCAAGATTGCGACAAATATATTTCACCGACTACCTTTAACCAAAGTCTTAACAAGTTCCGGGTCTCGTTTGAACCTTCACTTGATTTATTAGCAGAGGATAGAGACCATCCAAATGGGCTACTTGGAATCGGGTTAATCTATGGTGTAACTGATCCAACGTTCAACGACACCGATATAAGTACAATTCAAACAGTTATAGGTAATTATTATGAGCTTGAATATCAGTATTGCAAAGCCGCATTGTTCGGCCCAACGGGAGGGATTAATGAGTTTTACGCTGTGTGTTTCAAGTGTTTCTGGAGAATATCGGGCGAATAGAGATCTAATTTTTTTCTACTAGAATATACGGATGATTCATACGATCAACTCCGAAAGACACTCAAAATGCGCGACCCAGAATTATCCAATTCTCTGGCAGCGTCGGAAGTACATTCTCTATTTTATAGGCAAGTGTACTTAGTGACATACAGTCAAAGTGAGAGACAAGTACTGAAAAAAGATTTGCTGTCTGCTTTTGGCATTCCGACTGGCACTCTTCATATACCTTACGTCACTGCTGCATTAGGTGAGTGACATGCTTTATGGATAATCAGATGATTGTGAAGCGTATACATGGCATGGCTAACCAACTATCTTGCTATATAGAGGGTGGACCATTGCCTCTTAATATGCCTGGATATGGAATGATGATAGTTAGACCTCAGACTTACGTTATTAGGGTTGAGATCGAGCAAAGGTAAGGAAGGAGACAGGTTTGTTTTAGTCGTATTGTTGGTTACTGGTGATTATTAGACTAATGAATGATATTATACTATGTTGATGATTCATTTAAAGATCAAACACGGTAAGATTAAGGTTGACTGGATTGGCAAGAACAATCATCAAGCAAAATCTAATGTTTAAATCAATGTCATATTATTATTACCGTTTATGCAGGTTCTCAGTGCATTTGGTTTGCTTGGTGGTATATGGAGCATAGCTGCGGGACTGTATGCCTTCCTATTAGGTAATTCCTAACGGCATCACGCTCATTCTATTATTTTTTTTCTTGTTCATCCGCACGCGCTTAACCTCATTTTTCCACTCACCAGGAAGAGACTCGATACGTCCATGGGGTTGTGTCCAGTCTTATTGCTGCTGTTTTATTCGATCAACACGTTCAAAGCTACGTGAATCATTCGAACCAGTCGTTCCGTTTCAATCCTCCAAAAAATCCTCCGAAGAATCGCCAGGTTCATCATTTCAATCAGAAGATACAACAGAATCAACAAAATTAACAAAATTGCAAGACCGATTAGACGCATTGGAACGGTTTATGCAAGACTATATAGTCGATACAGCATATTTAGATGGGTTGAAAGAGGGCAAATGTCCAGATCGAATAAGCGCTTGGCTGTCAGGTTTAGGCAGACGAGATGGCGATGGGAACAAAAATGCACCCAACAGCACAAGCACAAACACGCCGGAAATACCAATCCAAACCGTAACAAGTTTGCCTAATCCGCCCTCAGATTCTTATTATTCTTCCCGACCCAACGCATACGCGTCCGACTTACCGGAGAGACAGGCTTTTCAGGTCGAATCACAATCAGCTCAACAAGGATATGATCAACATTTGGGTCAACCAATGTCTGAATTCGATCAAAGTCTTATAATGGTGAATGTGGATACACACGATAATGACGCTCGATCAACCCCGATGATTTACACGGCACCACAGTTTTATGAAGAAGGAAGCATATAAAGAGAGGTAGAGAACTAATGAATTACATTTATACGTATTTAATGTGCAGGAAAAAATTGTATTAATATCAGATAATCTTTTATCAAACGCAAGGAGAAAGTAATTCTTTGCGTTTGGTTTTTGTTATGTCTTTCGCGATTAAAAAACTCGAGAACTCTTTTTCTTTATTTGATTCCATGTATTTTCATAGCCGCGCACACCAGTATGGAAGAGAATTCCTAAGAGTGTGTTTGCGCTTTGTGATTGTTTGTTTCTGATCACAAATAAATATTTGATGTAATAAAAAATTCAGATGATGTAATAGACGCGTCGAAGACATTTTACATAAACACATAAACAGCTGGCAACAATAGTCAGGTTAATAACTCGATAATTATCAACACAGTGAGGAACAACACAATTGTTTACAAAGCAGAAAAATTAATTCTGGCAGCCGAAGAGGTTAAACCACTCTCGATATAAGAGAACGTTATTGTTTTAGTAGTGTATACCCATTTGAGACTGTTGCAAATAACAAACTAGCGAATATAATTTTTCGTTCAAAAATGTTCGTGACTTGTGATATCCCATTATTCGATAATGTAATGTCTTCAGATTAGTGATCTGTGTTAAAGAGCGAACCAAAAAATTACGGATAAAAAGAAAATAGTTCTTGTAATAGATAGACGACTTATTGTAAAATTCACGCATGGCTTCAAGAGTAATTAAATATCGTGTGGTCAAATCGACGCGGTAAATAGTTTAGTTTTGTAAGCAAGTATTTATTATCTTTATTATTAATATAATTTCTATCCCATGGTAATTCTTTATCAAAACACTCAAACTATCCAATGATAACTTGAAGCACATCATTAATTACCATATTGAGTCGAACAGATATCCAGTGTCGCAAGCTTATGTGTTGCATAGCTATCTATTAACATCTGACACTTTTCAACTAGTCTTTGTGTGAATATTACAATTTTAATGACGTCTGCATGAAAAAAAAGGTACAGATTATGTATAAAAGAAATGCTCACCAAGAAATAGGATGGCTATTAGAAAAAGGAAACTGATATATCTGAATAATTTTATATATAATACGATCGCTATTGTATTTTGTTATTATAAGTATTACATCCGATAATTTACACCAGAACAGATATACTTTTACAATGAAAAAAGAAAAAGAAGAAAAAACACACAAAAAATACATAGTAACTCAAAGCCAACAAAGATCCCACGCGGTAATCACTTTTCAATCCTTCCCCATTCCCAATGTCCCCACACTTCCAATGCCGTATTATAAATCATCTGCTATCAACTTGTATTAATCAACTAATTACTTTTAACGTCTAGAAATAACTATACACAGAAACCAACTTTTCTGCTGCTTTTGGAACTTCATTATCAGGCGAGAGGATGATTTCTGTTCCAGAAACAGAGTCTGATTCAGACTTTTGGGATGCGTCGGATATATATACTGCTTGACGCTTATCTTTATGACGAAAGCGCGAAGGGAAACTAAAGTCCGGAACGACTAATATAGACTTGCTGTTACTTTGATTGCTATTGTTTACATTCACAACATCATCTTCACAATCATCCACATCCTTATCGTCAAGTTCCCCGATGAGCTCTCGTGTCACCAACAGTTCCGTCCTCTCCAATTCCGTCTCATCCATCAACCAACATTTAGACGAAATCTTGCAAAGCCTACATTCATCCTTAACATGCAATTGAACAGCAATGCTTTTGAATATGGAATCCACTACTTCTGCTCTCAATAGCAGTGAATGCTTTCCACCCTCGATCAATGTTAGTCTACAATCCGGCATATTCTCCTCCATCCATTTGACGGCAGATACTGGAATTCGCTCATCTTTTGTTCCATGAAATACATGTACTGGATGGTTTACATCCGTGTATGAAAAACCAAAGGGATATTTCCTTTCGAAGCACATCACTAGGTCATTGTTGGCACCTGACAAGTTTTCTGCGAACGAGGCTTTGAGTATGGCAAGACCCAAACGCTGCTTTTTTTCCAAACTCGTCATTGGCGTCGCGAGAGCACCCGAATTTCTATGCGACGGCTTCATGGCATATGGACTGCGTCCATATAGTAGTTGTTGTAATGAGATCCCGGCTGTATTCGTGAGCTTCATAATAGACGTGGGTACAAATCTTAACCACTTAAAGTTATTTGCGACAGTAGTGGAAACCCATGGGCAGACTAGATATATTGTCCCTTGCAGACGGTGCGGTAGCTTCAATGCACAGGTAAGAGCGTGTGGTGCCCCAGCCGAATGGGCCATTATAAAGAATTTCTTAATGCCTATTATGTCACAGAGTTCATCGATTACATCTTTACAATGAGAGCACGATTGATAAAGAAAGGATTAGTAACTTGAAGTAAGCGCATTTTTTTCTCGACGACTCGGTTCGGCTAGTTGGAAATAGATTTACTATATTTCTCCGTTCACACCTCCCGATGATTACTTACCAGGCCACCTTAAAATCTGTTGATCTTCAGCACTGACATCATCCGATAATCCAACTCCAGGACGATCCGGACATATCAACCTCAATCCATAACTACTCGCCAAATCGTCAAAAAAGGCGATAAAATATCTAACGCATCCCATTCCAAGAAAGACGAAAACAGGGAAACCATCACGGTCGCCTACTTCCGAAAATGACACGACACGTCCGGATTTTAATCGCACGCGCTGAGTCAAACGAGGTGCGGCTAGAAAGGCAGTTATGTCAAGCTGCTCGTGAGGTTCCGGAGTTGATGGTGATGAGGAGTAGGAAGAAGAGGAAGAAGATGGTACAAGTGGGGGCGAAAGGAGTGAAGGGGAAAGTGTTGGCGAAGAGATGGATGCTGTTGCCGATGGAAGCGAATACACAGACGAAGAAGTGGATGTGGACGAGAGATGTTTGCTTACAGCCGTCGATGAAGACGGTGCTATTATATGATCGTCGTTTTCTCCTCCATCCACATTACTTCCATTGTCTTTCTCTTCAACCGTTACAGCTTCCTCGTTTATTACTAGTGATTTCCCTTCCTGACTATTTTGTAATTCTTCTTTTTGTCCTTGTGAAACTTTCTCTTTTCCTTCTGCTTCCTCTTCAGCTCCTTGCTTTGTCTTGTTACTTTCCGTGTCCATCATAGCATCAGCATTCCATTCGGCCCCGAGAGAAGAAAATGCAATGGCTGGCAACGTAGGTGGAGAATGAACTGACGAGCTATTCATAGTGTCATGTATAGTTGGCAGTTCTCTTCGTTTGAATCCGAATGTCACTCTTATGGGAGAGCGTAAAACCGGAGTCGATGGAGATCGGTTTAGTATTGGGGGGGTTGATTGTGGTCGTTGTAAATCTTCTGCAATTTCGGAAGCGATAGAAGTCGGACGTTGACTCAGACTCGGTACAGGAGAAGAGGGACGCGATGAAAAAAATGGAAAAAATGAAGTTGTGGGCGAGGTTGAGGTTGCGCTTGAGAATGAGCGTGGAGAGGAAGGGGAAGAGGGAGAGGGTGATTGAGAAGGGGATGATGAAGATGTTGTTGATGACGAGGGTATTGTTGGATTAGCTGAAGACGACGAGAGTTTTATTGATGATAAAGAGGTTCTTAGTGAGAGAATAGGCTTTTGTGCTAGCGGTTGGGATTTCGAACGTGGTTTTTTTGCTAGTTTGGATTTTATTGATGGTAGCTTTGTTTGGGATATTGTTGTCTTTCCTGTTGTCTTTCCCGTTGTGTTTGGCTTGCCTGACATTTCTTTAGTTGATATTCTTTCAGCCACTTTCTGTTCTGGTTTCCTTTTTGTAGACGATCTTCTTATAAAAGCTTTGTCGAATGCGCTTGAGAAGGAACGTCGTGCAGTAGAGATTGGCGTTGGTGTTGGTGTTGCTGATTCGGGATGTACGTTCATTCCGTGATATGATATATAAGTGTTGGGTATTATAAATATTATCAAATAGTATAGTGAATGATATGTAGGCTATTATTATACAGTGAGAGGAATGCTCTCTCTCTCGTAACAAACGATGTTGATGGAGAGAAGAGAGTAATATATGTGTAAAACAAGAGTAAGCGATGAGTGTTGTGTTCAGTAATGAATGTAAGACTGTTATACGCAGTGGGTTTTTCTCTTTTGTGTCTGTCTACCTAACTAATATATCTAGTATAAGTATATGATATATAATATATAAATATATATGTACAGTATGTAGTTTTTTTACGTGTGCATATATTAATATACTCGCATCGAGCGATGTGTAAAGTCAACGTTTTGGGAGTGGATGGAATTGTGACGAGAAATGAGTGGGCGGTTATATACAATTTATGCCATGTATAAAATGTATAATCACGTTTTGCAGGACAGGACAGAGAAAACAAAAGAGAAAAAAAGGATAAAGAGAGAAAAAAAATGAGAGTAGAATTGAGAAATGATCCTGCATCATCGCGTCTGGTGTCTCGAAGCATTGTTACAGCTGCATATAATTGTGACAAATAAGGTAAGCACTACTTTGTAATCAGTTTTAATGGCATCGACACAAATATTAATATCCATATTAGCAAATCACATTTAATATCCGTATTTTATTTTTAGATTAAAAACTAGTAATTCTAATATTAATGGAAAACTTGATGACTAACCAAGTATGTTTGCACCCGAATGCCATGAGCAGTGTGTATAAAAGTATATAAGAATGAATGTATGTATGAACGTATGTATGAACGCATCCGTTCGCCGTTTATATGAATATGAAGGGACAGTACATTTGCTTCAAGCTTCCATCCAATTTTTAATTGCGGTCAAACTGTGTATTGGTAATAGGTTTAGTGTGTGTGATTATGCTAGCTCGATATGGAATGGCCTGTAACAACACCCTCCGCATAACTCACTAACCAGTTTACTCAATATACTGCTTAAATACTCGCAAGTATAAGGGGACAATACCAACTCAACTGTCATCCATACTTGGCATGAACAATCGACACTCATCAATTGATCACCAATCCAATAACCAATACAATCGTCGAACATGAATTATAATCAAGTAAAAAGTACCCGTTATAAACGTCTGTACACTTATTTTGTGTGTGTGAATACAAATATATACAACTGATAAGCTACCAGTACAAAGACTAATTCACCGAAATTATAACATTAATAACCGTAGTTACTACCTTAGTTACTACCCCAGCTACTCCCCAGTTACTACATAGTATTAGTTACTACCCCAGTTACTACCCCCAGTTACTACCCTAGTTACTACCCTAGTACTACCTAGTTACTACCATAATTACTGTCCCGCAGTCACAGCCATATACCAACTATGATAACTATAACAATACCAATCCTATCAATATTATCTACCGATGCAACTGCTAAAGAGGACATGACAATGCACAACTTTAATCATACTGGTCCAACAATACGTTAACAATACTTATTCAAACAAATGCATCAATCGCAAAAGCCCTAATGCATACCAGCCACATACTTCCCCAATGCTTTCCTCCTCCATTCTCCCACACGCGTGCACATCACAGCCATTTCTGTAAACGCATTGAAACACACTCGACACATACATACATATCCACTGTTCAACCCCATCCCATCACACATACTCACTTCATGCTTCACTCGATCCCTTTCGAAATACACTCGTCCTCTATTCATCCTTCTACTTCCAACGAACCACTCGATTATTTAATATGCATTTGGATAAAAAGTCCATCCAAAAAAAGAAGAAGGGGAAAAAAAGTCAATAAAAAGAAAACTATATACGCAATGCAACGATATTTGAGGGGGGTGTATACATACTATATATACTTTTGCAATACAAGATATAGTACATCACCATCAGATCAAAAAGACAATAATTACTACGTCAACACTATTATGACGGATAAAATGATGGATGATAATGATAATCACATGCTACATCAACACTAACCATCAGCATCAACTACATCACTCTCTCAATGTCAACTACTCCTTCCCTCCATGTCACAATGTAACAATCTAATCTCCCTCTTTCCTCGCTCTCTCAAAATTCTTTCATCCCTCCTTGTACTGCATAATGCCCGCCAGATGCAAGGCCAGGTAATGGCCCTCCTAGATGCTGTCCACCGCTCGCATACTGGTGATGCAACTGCAACTGAGGTCCACCTAATCCTAATCCGCTCCCTCCGATTGTATTCGGAATTCCTCCTAGTCCCATCAAACTTGCCATGTTCATACCACTCAGTCCCTGCTGTATCCCCCCTCCTTGTTGTCCACTTAGTGTAGACGGTATAGAAGATACCGACGATAACTGCGACAATGATTGAGAGAGTGACTGGAGCGATGACTGAGACATGGATGATGCTGACATTGCAGACGGGATGGATGGAAGAAGAGGTGGTCCTTCGAGTAATTCATACATAAGAATTGTCTCTTTCTTCACTTTCTCCCAAGTTGTTGGGTCGAAGAAGATATATGTACCACTTTCGTATGTTGCTGTTTTTGTTATTGGTTCAGTGCCTGGTTCTTTTGTCAGCCATAGGCGATGTTCACGATGATACCGCCAATTTCGGTTGTATCTTATGAGAGGGCAACAGTAGTCACAATTAGTTTGACAATTGGCAATATAAATGGTTTTTTTCTCTTAACTCTATTTTTTTTTTTTTTTTTTTGCAAAACAAATTGATCATATTCCTCTACCAGAGTCCGGTGTCCTAACTTACAATTCCTGTGCCGCATACTCCTGTAATATATCTCTTGGCATAGAATAAAAGATATAAAATAGTGTTTCATCCGAAAAAGATGCAATCTTCTCATGTGCTGGCGGTGGTGGTTGAACGTTGTAGCAAGGTGGGAGGTGATATTCGGGTTCAATTAGCCCTGGTGTAAGTGACGAGTCGGACCATGGCGATGTAAATGTTGCATAAAGGGCACTAAATGGAAGAGTATGTCAATAACTAGTATCGAGTGAAATCACCACAAAGGCGGCTACTTATACGACTGTTAATGGTTACAAGCACGTCCCCCATCACTTCTTACTTACTCGGAAGAATCAAGATTCAATCCTAACGTTGCTAAATCGTTTCCTAGAGCTAACATCGTAAGATCCTCATTACTCATTCTTATTACTTCCAATAAACCCAGCAGCCCATATTTGTCATTTAATACGGACTGGGATTGCGGTAATGAAGACGACTGTTGTGTTGTTTGTGTTGTGTGTATTATTTGGGCCTGTTGCGAAGTAGACGACGGAGAAGGACCTTGTGGCGGTGCTTGGGACGAGGATAGCGCGTTTTGAGAAGGCGAAGACGATGACGGATTATTGGACGAAGAAAGTTGTGACGATTGCTGTTGTGACTGTGCTGACCCTAAGGGAGCCGTGGAGAAGAAACATATATCAATTATATTGAACGTAACGCGACATGCCAACCTATGTTAAATGGATTTTGCGATTTCGTAATACCTAAAATGTACGGCTGCATATTCGATACTGCGTTTTGCATCGTGACACCTGACGACACAAGCGGTTTTGTCAAATAGGCCTGTGACAATAGATTGATCGATTACCATGTAAAACAATGCGGGTAATGAATAACAGCATAACGCTAATTGCTATTTCTTCAAATCTCACCTTTTTATCCTGCTCAGAAACCGAATTCATAGACGGCTGCGTTGTCGATCTTACACTGCCTAATATAACAACAACATTTTTATAAATAATTTATCAAGACAACCTAGCCTTAATTGGGACACAACAAGCAAGTTATTCTTGAATGATATTGAAAGGAAGAAAGGGATGTAGAAACTATCGGAAGAGAATATGCAATAAAAGTTAATTGAATCGAATAGTCAAGAATCAGCTAGCCTGTTTGAACAGTCATTGCAATTCCCACGCGTGAGTTATCCCCGACATTACAATAAACACCCTTCTCTTGTATGTCTTCCCCGTTTGCATAGACTCCATGTTGGAAGCGATGGCAAATTATTATATGCGCCTCCCTTCGCTACTAGATCAGCAACCAGCTATGTACCCTACGCGTCGCTACATATTCATTCCCTCCATTTTACTCCCTTTCATTCCCTTCCATTCCTTTCCATTCTCATCCAGTTCAATGGTTCTCATCTCTCAAATTATTTCACTTGTTCTTTAATCCACTACCACCCAATCATATCCTTTTAAAGAAACCTACCAAGACCCAACCGCCAATCCTGCCCAGTAACACCACCGACTGCTGTCACACTACCCAACGCAAGTCCATTAGGATGATGGGTCAACCCATCAACGTTTTGCGTATGCCCTCCACTTTGCAACCTATTATTCGACGCGGCATTCGGCAAAGCAGGAAACTCATCAATGCTAAATTCTTGACTTTGTCGAGGATGACCAGAATTAACTCTTCCATCTATTCCGGCATTCGAACCATTCGAAGAGGGTGCCGTACTTGCAGTCGTTGCATATGTAGAACCGAGAGTGGAGGAAGGTGCGATAGTTGTATTTGATGGAAGCGCTGCTGACGGGAAGGAGGTCGAGTTGAGAACGTTGGAAGAGGAGATAGCGTTCGGTGCTGAAGTGGCGTTTGTGGAAGATGTTCCGGTTATTGTTGGTGCAGTCGTACTCGTTGGCGTAGCTGGGGTTGTAGATGAAGTGTTCGAGCTAACTAATGCAGGAAAGTCATCGGTCGATAGACTATTTGGATATTGCGAGAAGGGTTGTTGGTGCTGGCGAAGTGAGAGAGATTGATTTAGTGTGGTTGCTGGTGAAGGGTAGTTCCATGATGGAGCATTCGATCCTACATGGAATGGATTGTCGGGATAATTGAGTTTTTGGGGATGAATTGGTTTGATTTGGGAAGGATCAGAATAGGGACAACAGAGTGCGAAGAAGGATACACGTGTATGTGGGGGTAGCGAGGGTAGTTAGTAGAATCGTGTCGAAATACCTAAGCGTCCATTAGTTCTGCTAAGCGCTGTTGCCCCTCCTACTGGTCGTTGAAGTACTACTGATGGTGGGTATGGTGTATTGAGCGGTCTTGTTACTTGTTGTCCTGGATTCACACCTATTGGCAAGTTTACAGTCGAGTAAGTGATAGTACTTTTTTGCATGTGATGATTAGTTGCATGTTGAGAGTGACATAGTGTGCAGGGATGAAGAGGAGGCGAGTAGGTTAAAGTGGACTGAGTAGATTGATAGACAGTCTATTTGCTACTACAAACAGTCAAAGTAAAGCAAGAGTATTTTGGCTCGAGCGATTTACTCACCGGGTAAAGTGGTTCGTGTTAATATCCCTCCTCCGGGTTGAGGACCAAAGCGACTTGAGTTACTCATTGGTTTGACTACGTTGCTATTGTTTATTGGCATATGTTTCTTGCAAGTTGAGATAGAAAAGAGACTGAAAACTTTGGGTTGTGTGGAGATCGAGTGACGTCATTCACTAAATAAGAATTTTGATACTTTTTGCGTCTGTTTGTGACATTTTGTGTTCAGCAGAAAAGGAAACTTTATTATGGAAGAGGAAATATTGCAGAATGTTTCGATGGAATTATTTAATATGCAGCTAAAATGTCTAACATTCTCTGGTTGAATTCCCATAAATATCTTATTGGTATCCACTTGTTTTCATTAGCCGTAATCGTGATGTTCTGTGTGTTAAGCGAATGAGGTTATTATTATTATGCCCATTAAATATAATTAATCTTAATCTTAATCTTAATTAATAATACTAATACACGTAATTCTCGGATCTTATAAATTTCACACGTGACAGCTATCAACAATCTCAACGTTTTGGCTCGCTTTTAGTTTGAGTCACATTGGCAGCAGCCTTACTATTGCAGAACACTAACGATATTAATAACCGCATTCACAAGAGAAGCAGTTTGTCTTGTGCTATAATCCGGGACACTCTAATCGGAAATCGATAAGTGTTATTATTATATAAAATATTAATCCAGAACCAATCTTTCTGATCTCCAATAAAACATAAATGGGAAGAAAACCATTCCGCTGTTGACAAGGCGAATCTGACGGTGATAAAAATACTTTGTAATTATTATTAACCATGATCTGACCATTATTAACCGATGATCTGTATTTGTAGACCATTACTGCATTATTAACCGATGATCTGTATTTATAGACTATTATTAACCGATGATCTGTATTTGTAATTTATCTTAACACAAAACAGGCTTTCTTATTCAGGCACTGATTGGTTTTAGCTTTTTTGCCATTTTTGTGTTGGTTGCCGTTTTGATGGGACGTCTGATTCGTCATTCGGGCGGTTTGTTGTGTGTATAGTAATAGTAAATAGCAATAGCACAAACAACAATAAGGGATTTCTATAACACTAAATTGGGCAATGAATTATCAAGTCATGCTGTCGCTAAGAATTGTATTTCAGATTGTACTACAGTAAAACCATTCGAATTGGTACTTGAATCATTGTATTTCAACCCCGTACAAAACTTTGTTCAAATGATTAAGCATAATATTTGCTTTATAATGTTTCATTATGATAATAAAGTTTATACTTTCTTTATTGACACAAGGTACTCACTCCGAGTAACATCGCATGATCTCAATGAATGAAGCTTTTTCGTTATAATCGGCTCATTCGCATTGGTCAAGTTAAGTTGAAGGAACAATCTAGACACCCACAGAACAAGACTTATATTACAGTTGGTCTAACCGCATGTGTAAGCCTAATTATAATGTTTAGTTTAGATGTACTTCTCCTAACATCTTAATTTCTGATGCTAATACTAAAAGAGTATCACTTAACTGAAATTAACGTAATAAACTTACAAAAATAGTGTTGTCCTCAGTGAGACCCTATCTCAGTTCACAAAAGTTTCGTTGCACATACATTGCACTTTGGACTACTGATCTATGAAAATGGTAGTTAGTGATTTGGAGTTCAAATTTGGGTTTTGTGTGGGATATATACTCGGGATGCTACCTACCCTGTGCCTTTTTCCTGTCCATACTTGCGATTCATAAGGCAGACATATCTGTGTAATAAAGTAAGAAAGGTTTGCCGATGATTTTTATAACGATATAACCTGTCTCAGACCGCCAGAAATTAGATAGTCTATACGTACGTATTAGTATATCGATATATATTATGAACTTATTACTATAAACTGGCGTACGGGCTGAAATGTTTTTTGTGACACCAACTGATCATAGGACTGAATGTAGCCAGATTAATAATAGTGGCGCCAATGCCGGGTTGACGATCATGGCTCATGCAAACTATAGATGATTGTTCATAGCTTAGCTGTTTGAGTCGGAGTTTTCATATTGTTCATAGTCTACACAGGCAGTGGGTTGGCTTCGTCACGAGATTGACGGTCGAATGCAATTTACGCAAATAATGAGGATATATTACACACATGCTATCCGGACACGCTATACACACAAATATGTCTGCAACTTATGTCGCGTAAATTCCATCGATTAATGCTGTCAAAACGGATTTACTCGCATCCAAGTTATATCTTAGTTGTATTTTTATCGATATACACGTACATGTTGTGTCTGAGTTTGGGACCTGTCTCAGTTTGGAACCCAGACACTCAGTCCAGAACTCAGTTGTCTCAGCCCAGAACTGAGACAGGACCCCAACTGAGGTACAACATACACATTATAATAATAAATGTTATCAGAAATTGCTATCAAATCGATTTCGCTCATGTTTAAAGACATGTTATATCGACTTAACCTTGCTGAATTTTTGTCACAACTTGTGACAGAACTTGTGACGCCTGTTTGAGAGTTTTGAGCCTTTTCGTTTCTTTCTTGATTAGTTTTATGGTACACATGTACTACCATATATCCATTTACCATACATACAGATAAATGCATGCACCAAATATAGATGATGTCAATTTACCACACTCTTTACATGGTACACAGATGGAAGAATCCAAGTGGACTCTACAACCCTCCAGCTAATGGATAGCAACCTTAATGATAAAATGTATATATTATATGTCTAACACTGATTACCTAAAATAATTAATTTTCATTTTGAACTTTTCTCTAACCAATAATATACCATTCGAGAAACGTGAGTGCTCAAAGTAAATTTACCATGGAATTTATTCCACCCTCTGAATTCATTCCATCCTCTGAATTTATCCCTCCCTCTTTTGAAAATTTCGAGCCAAAGCCGGGTTTTGAAAATAATGGGGGCTTTTACCACCAGGTTTAAGCCGAGAGTGTGGCTGAATATATGTGCAAATTTGTGATGATACTGTGAGACCAAGACAATTCCTTGGCACAAATTCTGAAGACAGGATAGGAACTATATTCAGAGAACGAAAAGGCAATTTATTACATGAATATATAGAAGGTGATAACCCTCTTCATCCCTTTATCTATTTTGATTTACCTCAAATAAAATCGATCCTAAACTTACACGTCAAGAGATGCATGATATACTTACTTTTAAAAGAAGTGTGCCTAGAAATCATCCAGATTGGAATACATGCTGTTTGAACTAGCAGGGTAACAACCTTGATCATGAGGCCACTGAGGCATAAAACGACTTTAACCATTTGTTACGGCAAGCCGATCTGATGAATCAGATAAGTGAGTCACATGGTAAAATCTTCCTCCACAGTCAAGCAAAATCCCATGATCGACGTTAATTTTAGAATGGTAGTACGGCGTTGCGTTTTAGGCACCGTGTCGAAT